GGCTTTTGGGGCCAAAAATGCTGTCATCATCATATGTTCTCTGATCACCAACCTGCTTTCCTCCAAGTGCACAGGGGCAGGAATCTGACACTCTAGAAAGCCTCTGACAAGCATTTATGATGCAATTTGAAAGATGTATACATGAAATTAACATGGCTGATGGGCAGTTCACAGAGCCAACAGACTTTGTGGAGTCTGGAGGAATAATACGACCAGCTACCAACTGAGTCACTACTATGGGTCAGATCAAGGTTCTGAAACACGATGGCATAGCATCCTCAAAACGGCCGATACACAGGCGTCATTTCCATTCTAGAGATGAGAACTCAGACCCAGAGAAGGCAGCCTGAATCCATGAACTCAGGAATAAGAAGATCTGAGTTCAAACATTTTCTTATCGTGACCTTGGCATGTACTCAACTCTGTAAGCCTCAGTCTTCTCAACCACAAATGGAGACCAGGCTACCTTTTCACAGTGGTTGTGAGGACTCAAGCACTCTGTGACTGCAAAAGGGTGCACTGTCATGCTCTTATAAATAATATTAGTGAAATATGTCAATGGTAAATTAAAACTTTCGGTGGAAATAAGAAACTAGGGAATTTAAAAAATCGTATGCCTGATTGTCTCACCTCATACCTGAAGCTTAAGAATCAGAAATCAAGCTTTTAGACTCAGTGGGAAGGACTTACAGGGACAAGGGGGCCTAACAATGCTGCCAGCTCTGAAAAGAACCTGTATTTACACTGGGGAATCAAACACTGGACAATTTCCTAAGAATTCTATTCCTGGATTAGAGAAACAATCACATTTATAGGGATTCTGAAACCTATAGTCCCATTAATTATTTGAATGATTTTCTTATTTGAAGCAAGTATAATGAGGGATCCAATGTAGAGCTTTTGGGGCTATGTCAAAATAAGAATAAATCTTATCAATATCTGTCTGGAACTGATTTCAACCTTGAATATTATTTTAATTATAAAGCAAAACTCATAATGTGCCTTCAAGACCACAATTTCTCCTTTCTAATTACTGCATACAAAAGGACCTATCAGCCTTAAGAATTTTGTTCAAATGTTTTAAGGCTTAAATTATCATTTAACGGTTTTTGAGCATCTACTAAGTGACAGGTACTGCAGGCTTGGGAATACAAATACTAAAAACAAACTTAATTGGATAGGCTCACAGAACAAATTCATGACAATGGAAAGTGATTATTGCAATGATGGACGTACATGCAGTATATGCTTGTGGCTACTGGCTATGAGTGAACATTCCCATATTATTGTCTTTTCCTGACAATTACTCTTGACATTCCTCTACTTCACCATAATCTCACTCATTCTGCTACTCTTATCATAATTCTGCTCATAAAGAATTTTCTAAACGTTAATATTAGAAATTACTCTAAGCCTGTGAAAGTTCTTGTCCTATCAGAAACTAACACACACCTTTTAAATAACACATGTAAAAACTAATGGAGTTAGAAAATAATATTTAAATTTTACAATAAGAAAAATATTACAAATCAAACTTGTTGAAGACAATTTGGGGATACTAACTTAAGAGCATTGGCTTGGGGTCTTTCCATGACTCTACAGAGCATGAGGGTCCCAGGAGCAGCATTTTCTGCCAGAATCCAGGCAGGGAGATTCCACTTCTTCCACCCCCACTCCATCTTTCTCCTGATCCCATACCGCTCACCAGCAGGACCTGGGAGGGTGACAGGGTGTTTGTTTTATAAGTCACGAACCTAGTAAAAACAAAAAACTTGAAGGAAGGAAGTCGTACTTAATGGGAAATGTCTGCAAATTTTAAAAGGAGACTTTATGCAGTCAACTTACAAAGTTTAAAAAAAGAGGGGGTTCAGAAAAAAACCCAAGGAAAATAGAAGAAATATTTCAGAGAGGCAATAAAGCCAAGTCATGTCAAAACATTACTGTTGCTGCCAAATGAAACAGGATGAATGACTGTAAAACCTTTTACAGGACTGAGACTGCTTCCCACATGTCCACAAGTTCTGGTTCATTTCCACTCCCCACTGAAGGCAACAGTGCATGGTGACCAAGGACACCCTGGCCTAATGCTTCAGCTTCAAAACTTGGCTCCGGAAGCTCCAGAAAGGCCTCAGCTTTCCTCTTCCCTCAGAAATGATGAGGCCCTACTTTGTGATCCCTGGCACATCCTAGCTACTCCTATTCCAGTACCTCATTTCTCATTTGACACAGTTACCTATCTCTACTGACCTTTGGAGATTCATAGACACTGGCTGAATGAATGTGACCTATTAAATCTAAAAAAGAATGAGACTGATGAAAATATGATGCTGTGAAAGTCTCCCAGATAAAACACACTATGACAGCAACAAGAACAAGTTGCTGGTTGCATGTGTGCACATGTGTTTGGAGTAGTACACAAGCCATCAGCGGACAGGAAGGGAGGTCGGGAAGAGGATTTCCTTTACATTCTTCTTATGTGCCATACATTATGTTCATGTTTTCTTTAACGCTTCAACTAAAATTTTAAAAAATAATTTTGTCAAGTAGAATTTTTTCTAAGGAAATATGAATTTTAAACCCAAGTATAATGTAGGTTCTCTGGTGACCAGATACCAAATGCTTCCACAACTAAAAAGACAAAAAATACTGCAATAAAATCAGCATATGGTCAAGTAGAAATCAGTCTTCTTTTTTCTGAAATATCTCAAAAATGAATAACAACTGTTTCCACATTACAAATCCTCCATCTTGCATAAAAAGGGCTGCTCAAGAAGCAGAATAATGGGCACAACTTTGAACTTGATGTCTGTTGTGCCCAGCTCTGTCATTAGCTGGGTGAGCAAGCTCCTCAACCTGTCTAGGCCTCAGCTCCCTCAGTAGGAAAGTGAAAGTGACTCTGGCAACTTCACAGGGACAGAAAGCAGATTTGTAATTACCAGGTGCAATTAGTAAATATACTAAAACCACTAAGTTATTTTAGAAGGGTGAATCTTGTGATGCCTGAGTTATCTCTCGATAAAGCTGTTATTTTAGAAAAGGATACAAAGTAGACCCAAATAGCTTTCAACTAGATTCAGCAATTATTAATATTTTGCCACATTAGTTTTCTCTTTGGCCTATACACACAGGCAGGAATACAGCACAGGTATGACTTATGGCTGAACCCTCTGAGGTTTAGATATTATAGCAGTTTGTTTCTATATGCTGCAGTATGTGGAATATCCTCCCAGGCAACCAAAGTACAAATACCACATTTGGGAAATTCAATACCACAAAATCATACACTGTATTTGGTTTTCATTTTAAAAACTCTTGTGTCTTTTTTTCATGACATTGACTTTTTTTTTGCCATACTGGGGTCTGAACTCAGGGCCTACACCATGAGCCACTACACTAGCCCCTTTTGTGTGTGTGTGTGTGTGTGTGCTGGATTTTTTCAAGTTAGGGTCTTGAGAACTTTTTGCCCAGGCTGGCTTCAAACCACGATCCTCCTGATCTCTGCCTCCTGAGTAGTTAGGATTACAGGCATGACCCACCAGCGCCCAGCTGCCATTGACAGTCTTAAAGAATACAGGCTGTTTCAGTGTCCCTCAACTGGTATATGCCTGTCACCTTAGGAATTGATTTAAACTAGACATTTTTGGCAATAATACTACATAAGTGAGCTGGGTCCTCAATGCATCATGCCACCAGGCACACAACCAATCAGTTTCAACAGTGGTGGTGGTAAGGTGGTGTTCTTGCTGATCTTGATTTGAGTGGTGGCTACCAGATTTCTCCATTATAAATGTGGCTTTTCCCTTCTGTAAGTAATAATCTGGGGGGGGGGGGAGGTGGCCATTTGAGTCTGTATAAATATCAGGTTTCCCCAATTACCTTTTATCCTAAAATGTTAGCATCCATTCAAGTTGTTTGCTTAGCATTCCCTCCCTTTGACACCACATTGTATTTGTGTGAACAAACACTGCTAGCAACCTATTCCAAAGTGTGTTGGAACTAGCTGTGATTTCAAGTACAGTTGTTCAATAGAATCACTGGGGCCAAGTACAGTGTCTCATACCTGTAATCCCAGCTACTAGGGAGGTGGAGATCAATAGGATTCAGGTTCCAGACCAGTCCAGGCAAAAAGCTAGCCAGACCCCATCTCAACCGATAAGATGGGTGTGACACTGCTCACTTGTGATTCCAGCTACTTGAGAGGCCTAATAGGAAGATCAGAGCTCAGGCTGGCCAGGGCAAAAACTAGAGACTTATTTGAAAAGTAAATTAAGCAAGAAATAACAATAATAGAATGAAGTGTGGTGGGTATCTCTGGGGGCAGGTCCAGGATGATATTTCAAGAATTCCAAATAGATTTTGATGTAGTGTAAGGGTTCAGAGTCTACACTCTCATTTTGCAGAAAAAAAGGAAACTGGGATCCGAGGGGGTCCTCCCCCGCCAAAAAAAACCCTTAATGACTTAAGAAAGCTTTTCTGTTTTTGCGGTATTAGACTGAAGTCAGGGCCTAGGGGTGCTCTACCATTTGAGCCACGCCCACAGTCCACAGGCTTGCGTTTTAACACACCATTCCTTCGAAAAACTGGGAACTGTGTGTTATCAGAAGTGAGCACTGCGGGGAGTTCGCTGCCAACACATGCGCACATTTCTTCTTGCAAAGCTAATTTTGCCTTCCGTTCATTAGATCTTTGCAGTCACTTTAGGCCAGAGAAACGGGGGCGTTTGGTCACAAGCTCCCGCCCTCGGGGCTCAATGCGACAGTTCAAGCCTGGGAGCCAAGGCCGACAGCAACGTTTCAGCGGCCTGAAGGTTACAGCTGATCTTGGGGCCAGGGCTTTGGTCGCTGCGCGCCACGCAGACCCCTTCCGCGGGCCCCTCACCGGCGGCAGGACGCGGAGGACGCACGCACCCAGCCGTGTGCTTCTGCCCCGCCCAGTCACCCGGACGTGCGCGGAGTGCTGGAGACCACGGAACCTGCAGATCCAGCCACCCCTCCACTTACCCCGGCGTGATACACTTTATTCGCTCTTTTAATCTTGATGTCCAAGGAGGTCCCCATTTCCGATTGTCAGCTGAGGCGGCCACTTCCGGCCGCGCGCACCCGCAGAAAGGACAGTCGCTCCGCCCCCCCTGCCTGGGGCTCCGCCCCTTTTCTGCAAAGCCAGCTTTGGCGTCACGTGACCTCGCACCCTCCTTCGGCTCGACTTTTTCAGACCCGCCTTCCTCCTTCCGGCGCAGGGGAGGGCCTTAGAGCCCGCAGAGGTACTTGCCACCCGGCCCCATCCTCGCCATGCGTGAGGGGCGGAACCAAACTAGCCACACCCCTTCCGTAAGGACAAGCTTCGGAAATAGCCCCCTTTTTTCTCATTTAGGGGAAGTTGGAGGAAAAGTGGCGTCTCTCCCGGCGTACCCCGCGGCAGGGGGCGGGGCCAAACCGGTGTCGCGGAGGTGTCCTGCACAGGAAGGCGGGACTCCCATCGGGCTGTGCGGCGCTGAAAGGCTACGCTATGGAGGTGGCACCTAGGAAGTTATAATTTACAAATGCGTTCTTCCTCGCATCGGCCCCCCCTCTTTATCTCTGGCCTCTCCCCACTTCCTCACTGGGGTTCTGAAGAGCCGGCAACCCCTCTGCCCTCGTCATGGGGAGCGGTCCCGGTCACCCGCAGGGGCGCGGCCGGTCATTGGCGTCCTGCAAGTCGCTGATTGGCTAGCGACCGCTGCCCCGCCCCCACCCGCGGCCCCGGGCTCCCCGCCAAGGACTCGGGAAGCGCGGGGTGACCTCGCTCGGCGCTGAGCCGCGGCGCTGGGTCACCAGCCAGCCCGGCTCCGCGGCCGCGAGGGGTTGTGGGTATTCCCCACGCGCGTGTCCTGGAAGCGGGTGCTGAATATTCAGTGATCCGCCCCACGGCCGCCGCGGCTGCGCCAGAGCCGAGCAAGACAAGCTCGCAGGCCTGGGGCTCGCAGATTGGCTGGGAATGCAAGAGTCAAAGCTGAAACCGACCTGCCTTTCTTTTTACTCCCAGCAACAACAGACGGAAGCTGACCCGAGATACTGTTGGGGGAGGGGTACTGCTTCCAACTGGGGCAGGCGACGGTGTTAGGCAACATATTTTTATTGAAATAAAATCTCTTGTAAATGCTTGTTTAAATAAGGACTTTTCCAGTTAGCAGATCTAATTTAATTGTTTTGTTAATTGGCTTAATTGCGATGAAGAAGTGCTTGTTTTGTTTGGAGTCATTGATTCTGATGTTCTTTTAAAGTACATTTTCGGGTAATACCAGATTTTCTGTGAAAGCATTTTCATGAATTAATATCACGAATGCCTCCCTCTTGAGAATGTCAGGCGTTCCATGGGCTGACAGTGATGGTTCTATAGCTGAAGTTGGTTTTGAAGGTTAATAAATGTGGTATTTCCCAGTATTCAGGTCTCAGTGTTCAGCTTCTGTCTGCCTGAGGGCTTCCTTCCCTGTCTTGATCTTCCTTGAGGCTCAAACTCAGCAACTCTAAGGCAACACATTTAGGAATAATCAGTCTAGACTCCTGGAATTCAAGAAGTGGATACCTCTAGTAGACCCATCACGTTCAATTGGTAGTAATAATAATCGGGACTTGGGGGGTGTGACTTTGGCGGTACAGTACTTGGCTAGCAAGTGCAAGGTCCTGAGTTCAAACCCCAGTAGCACACACGTACACAAATCAGAGGGGGCAATTCAGGGAGACAGGAAAAGAAATCTCTTAAATGTATCGGGACATTCTAGGGTTGCTTGTCCCAGCAAATAGGCATTATGTTTATTTTACAACTGACCATTGTTGTTCCTGGAGGACAGGTGTGCCATATTTGACTCGTCTCTGTGGGTTGCATACAATCTTTATGGACGGCTTCTAGTAATTATCAGTGTAGTCTGTCTGTCTGCCCATGTGGAGGCAAACGAGCATAAAGTGGTCCGTTTTTCTCCATTCACTGCTCGTGCCACTCTTTTTCCATTCCTAATCTTACCTTAAGTGATACCTTAACTTCTGGTCAATTTCAAGTACTAAAAGCTGTACTATATCCCAATGTCTAATCTTTCGGCAAGTGGAACCCTGGATCCTTAGTGGGGGTGAAAAGGTTGAAGTTGTGGTTCTGGCTCTCAGATATCCTTCAAGGTCTGGCTTCTGTTCAGACGGGAAGATGACAGGAAATGAAGCAAGAATCTCTTCACTCACCACAACTGGAATTCTCTTAGTTAATCCTTGCTTGTCAGGATGACTGGCCCTTGTTCAAAATTCAGAATTCCTTTCATGGAGCACAGATGGCAAAATCTAGTAGTTCCATAGGAGATCTATCTCCAGTTCTTTTTTTTTTATATTGCCCATACCAACATCCAGCAGTGTACCCGGTAGGGTGGGGCTCCAGCAAGACAGTTACAGACCATTAATCTTCCACAGGGTCCTCTTGAACCACAAGAATACACATCTTTGTCACACCAAATGCTGGATTGAAGGTGAGCCCATGACCACTGTATCTTTTTAATCTTCTTGTTCCCACTTGAAGTGGAAGGTAAATCAGCAAGAATACTGATGAAACAGAGCTATAAGCAAAAAGTGGAATACCAGCCTCCCATTCCCTTAGGCCCCATGAATACCTATGAGAGACCATCTTATAGCCCCTCGCCCACTACATCACTTCCTACCAGAAACACTTTTATTCCTTCCTGTGCCTCCTATATAGACTTGAGGAGAGACCTGGGAAAGTATTTAGCGTAAGAAGGGCTAGCTCTGCAGCTTTTTATTAAATGTTGAAGAAATAGCCCCATTTGTAGGCATCTTTCACTGGAAGTTTGGGTACTGTGTCTGTAATGTTCAATTCTTAGCCTAGTGCCAAATACCGGACAATAGCAAAGGTCGCACTGAGTGTATTTAACTGGATGCTGTGGTTCTCTACCAAGACTCCCCCTTTAGGACTGAAAAACATGCTCCCTGAAGTGCTAGGAGTATTACTGTCAACAGCTCTCTGCTGAGTCACTCTTCAAAACTTGCTCTTAGCTGTTCTTATCCTTCCTCAAGGTCATGCTCCCTTCTCAAGGGCAACTCATGTCTGATGACTAATTGACTTAGGATAAAAGACTACAGCTCCCTGCCTAGTTCAGGACAACTCTGAAGGCGCATTCAAGTTCCAAACCTCCTTGTATGAACTATCAATTGCTGTGAGACAAATTGCCCCAATATTTAGTAGTTTAAAACAATAAACATTCATTAATCATAATATCTGTTAGTGATGGAACGGTAATGTTGCCATTTTGTGAATCAGCCAAAATGGCAGTCCGCCCTTAAACAAATTCCGGTACTCTAAGACAGCCCCACCCCTACCAGAGACTCCCGCGCATGTGCTACCTTCCTTACCCTCCCCCTTCTATAAAAGCCACTCCTCGCCTAGACTCGGGCTGCGCCATCTTTTCCCCGGCCAGCCTGGCAGTTTGGGCCTGCCATTAAACTTTGCTCTATGGACGTGAGACTTTTCTCGTGAGCTTTCTTTGCGAGCGGCGTTTTTCCTAACATTTGGTGCCATGACTCAGATCGGGTTGAGTTCCCAGCACCAACCTTGCTCTCCCAGCCTCCTCCACCCCATCCCTCTCACTCTCTCTCTCTCAATTCCCATTCCCTTCCTCCGGGATCTGAACTGCTTTACCGGGTCCCCCGATCCTAGAAAACGCCACTCTCTCACTTGCTCACAGGGAAGTTCCTCCACCCCAGCACACCTCCAACTGCCATCCACCACTGGCCAATCTTCCCTCAAAGTCCTCTCCCTCGGTGAGTCCTCCTCGCACACTGAGCTGTGGTGTCTCTCATTTCCTCAAAAACCTAGCGCTAGGTCACAGCTTGTTCTTGTCCCTGGGAACTGGGTTCCCCACTAGGGACTGTGGACCCCCCCCTGTGGTGAAGACATTCCCTCTGGGTGTTGTGTTCCACATTTCTCTCTCTCTCCTGAGGACCTGATATTTCGGGGATGCCTGCCATATTTCTCCTCAGGTCAGGCCTTCACCATGGGAGTTGGACAGTCCCAAATTCGTTCAGACTCCCCAGTGGGATGTCTCCTGGCCAACCTTGGGTCCCTCTGCCTAATGCCTGATCTTAAGCCACGAAAGCTCATTTTTCTCTGTAATTAGGCCTGGCTCCAATACCCATTAGACAAGGCTTCCAAATGGCCAATTAATGGCACTTTCAATTCCAGTATTTTAAGGGATTTATACAGTCTCTGTGAGTGTGCTGACAAATAGAAGGAACTTTCCTACGTCCAATCCTTTTCCTATCTCTGCACCAAACCCTCCCTCTGTACTTTCTGTTCCCCTGTGCAGATTTTATTAGCCTGTAAACCACTTTCTAAATCAACCAATTCCTCTCCCAAACCTCCTCCTTCCCCATATAAACAGACCTCTTGCACTGCTTACCATGCCTATCTCCTCCTATCTTCCTGAAAAACTTTCCCCATCATGGAGCTAAGCAAGCCACTCTTTGCCAATTCTGGCCTCAAGGTGGTTCCAGCTCTCGGAGAGCTCATGCTCCCTTCCTGTGGGCTGAGACCAAGCCCCGGATTTATTCAGGTACTCCTCATGCTACATTGGCAGAGTCCTGTTTGATTATGTCACCTGATGACTGCTTTTCTTCCCTCCCCCCCCATCTAATGTCCCTTTTTCCTGAGACAGCGACCAGACCTTCCCCTCCCTGGGCTTACTGGGACCCTGCCTCCCATGAAAAACTTGTAACATGGTACCTTATGACTTACGTTATTCCAACTAGTTTGCTAGGCTTCTCAGTCTAAAATAACTTTAAGTCAGCTGCTTTGCCAAAACACTTACAAAAACCTGCCCCTGCTTACGCCCTAACTCCGCCCCCACAAGTGGAGGGGGGCAAACAAACAGGCGCACTCCTGCACAGGATGCCGGCTCCTGGACACAGCAAAAACACCTGCCATCACTAAGAAAATCACTAAGAAAATCCATAGAGAGGACCCAGCACATCCTTGGCCGCCAGCCACATGTGGTGATGGCTGTGGCCTGCCGCCACTTCCCCTAGAATACATGTGCACAGAGTACACAGGAAGGGGGGAATGGTGACAGGCTGCAAGATCAGGCCTAAGCAGTCAGGCTCACTTGTCCCGGGTGTGTGTGGAGGGCATTGGTGCCTTGCACAAGCCCTGCTCTCAGCCCCACCTCACACCTCGGGGCATCAGACCCTTGTAAGTCAATCGTTAGCTCAAGGTTATAGTTCCATAAATAACAAAATAGACATTACTGTGGTCTCTAAACTTCTCATCTAAAATTGTC